ATATGTATATCAGAAACATGGCTGAATGATAGTTTTTTTATAACGAACTGAGTGGTTCACGCTACCCGATATTTCGAAATGACAAAAACTACAGTATTTCCAGTGTGAACAGCAGTGGAAGTGTATTATGCTGTATTAAACCCAAATTTAAACCAGTACTTATCTCTGAGAGTATGAATACCGATTTTCAGTGGTTATCTGTCAAAATCTCTATAAAAGATCTCGACGTCACAATCTGTTGTGTGTACATCATCGGGAGCGAATTTAACGGTATATGAACAGTTTTCTGAATCTTTGGAAAATTGTAATGAGCTCTACGCCACCGAAAAGTTGTTGGTGGGTGACCTCAACGTCTCTGAAATAACTAATTCTAAATATAACTTGAGAAACGGATCAACAAAAGCAGGATTAATCCAATCCATCATGTGTGAGTATTCCATAAATGATATTTCTAATGGCTCCAATCTTTTGACTTAATATTAACAAATATCACGGAAACGACTGTGAACCGCCCTTAGTGCAGTTGGATAACTACCATCCAGCTCTCGAAATAAGGTTCACTGTCAATTTTCAACAAGTAACCGAATCCTTCGAAGGTGAGCATGTTACTGCATTTGACTTCAGAAGGGGGATCTTTGTGGAGCTATATAGAATGCTATCTAAATTTTCGTGGATATATATTCTATGTATGGATAATGTCGATGGATGTATAGAGTGTTTCTATGATTGCCTGAAGACCTTTTTTGAGAAATCTTGGAAAAAAAAATACTTTAATCCAAAATCGAACTCATGCACAAAATTAAATTAAAAGAACACTTTTTCAAAATGATGAAAAAAAGTCAAAAAAGCCTATTATTATAAAGAAAAATACAACCAACTCAGAATGGATATGAAACGTTCGCATAATTTGTGTTATGAATCCTATATAAAAGAAATAAAGGGAGACTAATACAATTGACAATACTAATTGACTAATACAAATAGCATGTTTCTAACTCCAGTAACAGAAAATGAATTAATCAAACACATTTCTTCTTTAAAAAATAGTAGTTCACCAGGCATAATTATTGGCACACACTTGCAGACCGGTTTCGGACTGTTTGGCTATTCGTCAGTGCAAGGTACTGTCTATCATCAACATAGAGTCGATGATTGTCGATAATTGAAAATCGAATTCCTTCAGAGTATCATTCCTCGAACAAGGCTGAAGCAGACTACAAACAACAGGTTTGTCATCGCTCCATCTGCCTGTGAAAGAAGTATGCCCACTGATATATGAAAACTTATGATAATGATGAATTTTTCGATGATAAGGATATTTCAGACGGTTTTGCTACTTTCTTCAAATCAACATTTATGACTAGCGATGTGCCTGGAAATCCCACACTAGTTCCTGAGTATGACCTAGATATCATTGAAATTGGTGATATTAAGGAACAAGACTTTGAAAATGCTATTAAGACACTGAAACCCAAAACAGCCATTGGAAACGATGGCATTCTAGCCTACTTTTTCAAGGTTAAAGCAACCATTGACATTGATATTCAATCTTTCTCTAAAAGAAAATCGTTTTCCAAGCTTTCTCAAAATCGGCAGAGTTACCCAATACACAAAAGCGGTAATAAGAATAATGTAAGAAACTACAGACCCATAACAGTCTTACCAGATTTATCGAAGATATTTGAACAGCTAATATATATAATCAAGTATACAATCACGTGGACTCAGTAATAATCAACCAACAGCGTGGCTTTATTCATAATAAATTTACCATTACCAATTTATGTGCATTTAGTAACTTTGTTGGAGATGGAATAAAAAATGGCTATCAAATAGACGTTATATACACTGACTTGGCCAAGGCATTCGACAGAGTTAACCACGAGATTTTGATCCTGAAACTGAAAGCATTCGGTTTCACAAACAACACACTTGATTTCTTTCACTGCTATCTTCACAGCAGAACACAGTTCGTACAATTCAACAAAGTATCTTCGTTCGAATTCACCGCTACTTCGGGAATTCCGTAAGGCTCTATTTTGGGACCTCTCCTTTTCGTGTTATTTGTTAATGACGTCTCTTGGTATATCGGGCATTCTCGATTTCTTCTATATGCCGATGATATGCTTCAAGATAATTTCAATAATCTATCTAATTACTTTTCAGTATCTGACCTATCTTTCAATGAAGCAAAACGCAAAATAAAGAGATTCACACGAAAGAAGTCACCCATTATCAAGGACTATTTCATTAATCACACCAATTTACAGAGAATCAATGAGATGAAAGTTCTCGGGATCATTTTCACGGGTGTGTTCAGTTTCTCTTGACACATTGAATACTTAGTATCTGAATGTTATAGAAAAATGAGCTTTGTCTTAAGATCTAGCCGTGAATTCAATTACGATACTTGTTTGTCACTCTTTTAACTCCATTGTTCGTTCTAAACTGGAATATGGTTGTGTCAAATCCAAAGACCTTTTATATTCTGATACTATAGAAAAAGTTCAGAAACGATTATTAAGAACACTCTTCTTCAGAAAACACAATGTCTGGCTTTTATTCATATCGTATTCCAGCCAATTATAAGAATTTAATGTGCAACCATTGAAAGACCGCCGTGAGTCCTTGGAAGTGATTTTTGTTTCTAACATTCTTAGAAAACTGAAAGTACCTGAAATTCTCTATACTATTGATTTTATTGTACCTGACGTAAGACTTAGAAGAAGAGACAATCCATTTCGTGTCTCAAACAATTTGTCTCCTCTTCAACAATGTCTCGAAACCGTTAAAAAAATGGTGATGAACTGTGAACTTGATATATATGTTTAAAATATGTTTTTCCGTTAATCCGCTATCGCACCCCTACGAACGACAACCCTCAGGAAACTTGTGCAATCTAAGGACTAACGTGGTCTTATCTTTTAACGTGTGATTCTTAACACGGATTTGACGATAGCAAGTGAAAATCGAGCGTTCATCCTGTGGCTTGAACCATCGACTCACACATCGGCCGATTGACTAAGTGAACAAAGCACACACGTCGAACCGCCCGGCTAGTGACCGACCATATATATTCAGTATTACATAGGGACAACTCCTTCGAATGTTCAAATGTGTCTGAATTTTTTTACGGCCATTTTATTATTTATTGTTTTATATTGTTATATTTTATATCGATTTTAACTGTATCAATGGTACTCAATGAATGCTATGTATAAGGAACTTAAAAAAAAACTGTGCATCATGTAAGTGAAAACCATTCTGTTTGTTGTTCAGTATAAATAAATTTCTATTTTATTCTATTTATTTTGGATACAATAATTGTTGCCATTTCTATTACTTACATCTGTAACTTCACTTGACATAGCAACGTTTTCAAAGTCAATAGATGTTTTCTGTGTTCAACCATTAATGAAACTGTCGACGAAGTATAGTGAAGACTGATGCATAGTAAATATCACATTTAGAAGATAAGGAAATTCTCTTGAACAATCATAATCGGAATTTGATGACTCACTCAAGGTAAATGAGGTAAATACCGATAGACGATCTGCGACAAATAGTAGATAATAGCACAAAATACAATTTGTGCCAGCACCTAAACTAGCCCAGTACCACAAAACACTGAAGTCAGTGAAGGAGAGGAAGAATTAAAAATCAAATAAAATCGCAAGAAAACTTTCAATAAAGAAATGAAACCAAAATTTGTCTCCAATGAGCAATGCACAAAAGAAATTCCCCCTACAGAGAGAGGCCTATTCAGATATTCAAAATTCTGTTAGTTTCAGGATATGACGGTAAAAATCTTCTTATCTCATGCACTTTAAAAAAGAACACCAAATAATAGACATTCATGAAACCCAATGTTAGTAAGTAACCAAACACTATCAATAAATTCAAGATATTGCCAGAATATTTAGTGACACAACTATCGTCAAACTTAAACCAGTCCGTTTCATCTTTGACTAATACGTAATAATGACCAGATTCAACATCAGAATCATAGTGAACAATGACTGCATGAAGATTATAATAGTGGTCTGCTAGATTGTACTTCCAGAGCATTACCTAATACAAATACTCTGATCATCACAGAACTATACCGCTTCAGCAGACAGAATTATAATAATACCGCCTCCAAAAAATATGAATGAGATGTTATTTGATTCGGAATAACGTGAAGATGATTTTTGAAGAAATTCAAGTACCGCTTGCAAAAATGGCAAAAGTTATAAGGAATTATATGACAAAAAAATGGGGTTTCGTTTCTTACAAATATCCCAAAAACTATTCAACGTTTTCCAAACTTGAAAAAAGATTCGAAGAGGAGGAAATTTACCAAAAAAAAGTCTACCTCCCGGAACTGTAGTAAGAGGGCGCTGGGGAGCAAAAGCTGGTTATTGAAAAAACAGATTTTCAGGTACAACGGTCTACTAGGCTGGATTTTGTTCTCTTTAATCGTGATTCCGACCGTGATAGCCTATATTCTTAGAATTGTGGATGATTATAGTTTACAAACTTTGAAAGTATGTTGTGTTATTTTCAAGCCTCTATTGCCTCTTTATATATAATATGCCTATCACTTTATAGCACCTCTTTTTCCAATACAACTTTCGAAAAATTTGGGGATCATGCAAACTGTTCTTGGCTCTTGTTGAAACACAATATAACTGGCATAACAATTTGGTTCTTATTAAACTATGGATGTAATGGATGCTAATTTCCATCATGCTGGGTTCAACTAATTTTTCAACAACTCAAAGTACTCTTCAGTCCTAATTTTCCCGATTCCAGCAATAACATTTGGACCCTTTACACAATTACCGAATATCCATTACCATATACATTTTTAGGCATGTTGAACATCCATCTTGGGAGGTTGAAGCGAGAGGTTTGAAATTATCCATACTGAGTATCTCTTTTACCAAAAAAATTCAAATAAAAAGTTATATTCACAAAAATAAGTTTAAATATTCCAAATATTCGAAAAAAAATACCTGCATGAAGTGCTGACTAGTATATGCATTGGCTTCTTGCAATAGACTCGTACATGCTTGATGTTCAGCAAATACTGCTATACCCAAACAGTTACTTGGATGTAACTGATGAGCAAGGAATCTACAAAAAAACTTACAATGAAGGCTATACAAAGTTGTTTCAACAAAACATACCTTGAACAAGCCTCCACTACCTCATGTAACAACATAAGACATGCTGTTGATAATAAGGTTTCTACATTGTCTTCCCTTATTTCTATGGAACCTGTATAACAATAGTTTACAACGGCTTGTAGAACTTCCCCGTTTACATCTCCTAGAGTTATTTCAGTTTCATCGGCGTTACTCAGACTCCCAGTAAACATTGCAGCAAAATATTCGCTGGCAGCAGATAACACCAACCTGTAAAAAACGTACATAATAATAATAATAATAATATTTATTTTGAGTCGCTAAGAAAATTTACATTTTATGGACCAGTCAGTTAATGAAATACAAACTACACACAATAATACAAACTACAATTAAATATAACAATTTCAAGTTACAAGAAAATACATTTATCAGTTGCTATTTTAGTAAAATCGTCAATACTATAAAGACAATGCTCAGTCAGTATGTTTTTCAACTTGTACTTAAATATTTTAAACGATAAGTTGCGAAAATGGATGGGTAGGGCATTGAAAAGGTAAGTGTCCACTTTTTGCGTCTTTTGCAACCTCAATTGTGGTTTTATCAGATTGTTCTTTGACCTGGTGTCATGGGCGTGAACATCAGAATGAGCTGAATACTCATTAATATGTTTCCTGACATATAGTAATTTTTCATATACAATGACGGCAAATAAAGTCATGATCTTCAGAGCTGGGAATATTACTTTACAGCTCGAGTCCCAATTTGCTTTGACAATTTTTCGTACAGCAGATTTTTGTAAGATAAATACTCTCATTAAATGTGATTGAGCTGAGTTTCCCCAGGCTAATATACCATAGCGAAGAAGAGAATGAAACAGAGAAAAGTAGGTGGTAAGAGCAGCATCTTGATTGACTACTTCTCGAATTTTTTTTATTGCAAATACACATTTAGCAAGTTTGTTACAGAGAGTACTTATGTGTTCAGACCAGTTTAAGTGACTATCGATTAGAATACCAAGAAATTTGGTGGAAGTATAATTACAGCTGTTGTTTAAGGCTCTCGAATCAAAATTAAGAGTTACAGTTTTTGTTTCATTCAGTAAGAGATCATTCGCAGAGAACCATGTTTTGACTTGATTCATAATTGCCTCAAGGGCAATTTCGGGATCCTCCCGTCTATCAATACTAGCACTGATTGTAGTATCATCAGCAAAGAGAACTGTTGCTGTATTATGGTAGGTAATAGAAGACGTCATATCGTTGATATAAATTAGGAAGAGTAATGGTCCCAAAACTGATCCTTGAGGCACACCCCTCATTATTTCAAGGGGATTACTTCTTACATTATTACATTCAACAGTCTGAGTTCTGTTGCATAAGTAAGAGGAGAATAGGTCAAGCGTGTAGTACTCGATAGTACTCTAATAAAAGTACCAGCTACAAAACAGGAATATAAGGTTAAATACAGTAAAATAATATAAAAAAATAATGCATATGTGAAATGGGATTTTATCACTATTCTATCACATGTTTTCTATCACATGATTTGGTGACTTGCTTAATTAAATGTTATGTTCAGAGTTCTCCAAGTCACCTTGGTTGATCCCCAATTAGGTTCCAAAATGTTCAGGATGAATTGAGGGGTGGACTGTAAACTTATAGGGGACGCCAAGTTGAAGGAAACCAAATTTCTTAATTGGTAACCAAATATCCTTTTAATGTTGTAAATGGTAGAATTCAATGATGAATAGTATTTATTGCGGCTCCATTCTCACTTACCACATGGGGGAAGTTGGACCAAGGCCCTTCTCACCTGTAGTAAAAAACAATTCTGTAGATACACAAAGCAGGAGTAGTTCACTGACAGCGAGGCAAACTACGTTGTCTGTTCTACCACTAACGGTCAACTTTTGTCGCTCCTAGGTAAGTACACCTTAAATCTTGAAGTGCTAAGGGAGTACAGAGCGAGAAAAAACTTGGGTAAGAGAAGAATATGAAGGAAAAAAGGGAGATAATAATAACAAATATCAACCGGATTACCCGATTGTGGTGGATGCAACAACAAAAAATTCTTTAAAAAAACAAATCAGCTAGGGACGAACCACACCTCAAGGGTTGAAAACGAAGTGACATCAGTGAATTTATTTCATGCTAAATGTAAATCAATTTTGTATACTTTTTGATATAAGTAAACCCCCTCTACTCTCTCTAATTATCAAAGAATCGTATGATAAATTTATACAAAATTCAACCAACAAACATAAAGATACTTGGAACTTATTGAACTACGAAAGAAACTCTACCAGTGAGCTCAAAACAATTTCCAACAACATCAGTGCCAATGAATTTAACATATTTTTCTCGAATATTGCCGAAAATATCATTAAATATCTACCTACCTGCAACATCTCTGCTCTCGATTATATTTCTAGCCTCCCAAAACCAGTTAATTCATTTTTTCTACCACCAGTTGATCATGAAGAAGTAACACTTGCGATTCAAAAACTCAAGAACACCTCTAGCTTTGACATATTTCACTTGAATAGTCAAATCATCAAAGAAACCATTGACTTTCTTGTTGAACCTTTGACACAATTAATGAATTGCTCCTTCACGGAAGGTATCTTTCCCGATGTCTTTAAAATAATAAAGTAGTGCCTATCTTTAAAAAAAGGTGATCCCAATATACCAGACAACTATAGACCTATCTCGATTATACCCATTTTAGGAAAAATCCTAGAAATTGTAATTAAAGAGCGCCTCTCCAATTATTTAAACAAATACAATCTTCTTCATGGCCATCAATTTGGCTTCATCAAAAATAGATCTACAATAGACGCAGTGGGAAAGGTAATACAAAAAGTTATTGAACATGTGGAGAATGGTGAACTCACGTTGCTAACATTGTAGGATTTGAGTAAAGCCTTCGACTGTGTCAACAACAATATCCTTATCAGTAAATTTGAAATTTTTGGAATAAGAGGTACAGCCTTAAACTTATTCAATTCATACTTAACCAGAAGGAAATAAGCCGTCTGCACAAACGGGGAATTATCTGTAGAGAAGGTAGTTTCCAATTGGCATACCTCAGGGGTCAATCCTTGGACCTATACTTTTTGTAATATATGTGAATGATATTTCTCAAAGCCTACTACCTAGCACAGTCATCTGTTTTGCAGATGATACAACAATGATTCACTCTAACTCTGACATGAGTAAACTACTCGACAAGACCAATGAAATTGAAGAAAATGCTGTAAACTGGCTTACTTCCAATAATTTCAAATTAAATAGGGGAAAACTCAACAAATAGTTATATCTTCAAATAGTACGGTAACCACAGAGAAACACGTAAGATTATTAGGTATAATTATTGATGACTCACTTGAATGGGAAAATCATATTGATTTTCTATGTTAAAAATTGTCAACTCAGCTCTACCTACTTCGCCAGCCGAGAATATTTATAAGTACCAATACATTACTAACTGCGTATTACTCACTAATTCACTCCCATTTAATGTATGGAACTCTCTTATGGGGAAAATCCTCTCATGCTCAAAAGATTTTCTGTATGCAATAAAAAGCACTTACAATAATAGCTGGAGCTTCATTCAACGAACTATGTCAACCTCTCTTCATCTTTTACAAAATTCTGCCTTTGCCTTTATTTTAAACACTTTGTTAGAGATCCATAAAAAGAAAAGTATATTCTCCACCCAATCAGACTATCATAATTATCCCACTAGATATGCAGATAAACTTAGACAACCGCTGAATAAACTAGAAATGTCTATACAAAATTCACTGGACCTCAAGTTGTATAACCATTTACCAGTTGACCTCACTCAGCTCAGTACTCCATCATTCAAGAGGAGAGTTGAAACATTCCTTTTAAAAAACTGTTTTTACTCAACATAGGATTATATGAATAGTACTTACACTTAATGATAAATTCACTTAATATTACTTTTTATATATATTTTGCTACGTGATGTTCTGTAGCACCAATATTTTATTTAACCTAGCAGTTACGTTTTATTTCAAATGATCAATAATAATTGTATATTATCTTTTAATTTTGTACTCAGTACAGTGTGCATCTGTACTCTTTTTGACCTGTCATAAATGTATTGTATGCATAACATGATTAAATAAATTCTGTCTGTCTGTCTATATGGAAAGAGATGTGAGGCAATTAAAGCATTGTAAAATGTTTCACAAGATATACATCAGGAAATCGGCCATAAAATATACTTTGAGAACACCAAAACCATTGCCGCCTATAAAACTCACTAGGCCAGGATAATACATGAAACTATTGCAATTGAAAAACGTCCCAACTACCTCAACAAACGAGATAATTCACAAATATTACCTCATTCATTGAGATTATTACCGTCACAGCATACATCTCGCAACATTGCACACCTAGCTTCCACAAATCACACCTCCATTCCCAATACCAACCTCACCCTCGCCCCTACTACAGGTTTGTCCCTCCACTCGTCCGACGACATAAATACCAGATCAGAGTCTATGAGCCCACAGTCGTCATTTGGGAGTAGGCAGATTGAGAACCTTTCGAAGATCAGTGACGAGACCTGGGTAGTAGGCAGATTGACACCCCAACGTCAAGACACAAAGTCAAAGTCGAAGCCTAAATGTGAAAAAAACAAAAACTCTTGACGCGGTTCAACCCAGACTTCAGATCCATAAAAATTGCTTTTGGTTTTTCAATTCCTCGCCTTTGTTGGATATCACTGACAACTTCATCTGTATGTTTAGTTGTCAAAACTATCACATCTCTGGTATCCTTCTACTTTAACACAGCTAGTCCATGATTATCAATTAAATTTTCTGTAGATCACGAAATCTCCACTAAATCGGTTCGTCTTTCTAATAGAGAAGATGCCAGGAAAACGCTTGCATAGTAATTGTCAATGTAGAGGGTTCTTTCTTTATCGAGAAGATTCTCCATTAAATTTGGAACATCGTTTTTATTTTTATTTATTGCTCAAATCTTATGTGACCTCTGAATGAAACTAGGGTTTCGTCAATACATATATCAGATTCAGGGGTAACAACTATTTGAAACCTCTCTTTCAACTCATTTAGAAGCAGAGATAATTTTCTGGGCAAATTAAGATTGTGTGCTGTGGATATATCTGGTAGGTTTCGAAAGTACACATCAACTTTTGGTGAAGTGACATGAAAAAAAAATACAACTGAGTATCAGCATAATGGTGAATACAACAATTTCTCATTACTTGACAAAAGTTTTAAATATACAGAGATAATAATATAGGGTTTACAGGCAATTTGAGTATTGACCATCTAACTAAGCATATGGTTTGGGTTTGATGACTGAGGTAGTTTCCTCTAGAAGGTATGATATTCGTAAAGAAAAACTGCAATGTTCCAATTTATGTAAGAGAATATAACACAATGTCATAAGGTCACACACAATAATATCAATGTAATATTTATTTGCAAATACCTCTTCAATTGTTGAGATTAGTGTATTGACTGCATCTGTTGAAGAATATGATTTCCTGAATCCATATGCTATATAAATTATTAGACTCAAAATAACCTGCCATTATTTTTTTGAAGTTTTTGCAATTATTAGACTCAAAATAACCTGTCATTATTTTTTTGAAGTTTTTGCAAAGACTTTGCTCATGGGTCTAAAATTAATACAATCACTGTGTGAACCCTTTTTATGTATGGTTAGAATTTTTGATGATTTAAAGGCTTCAGGGAACACTAGAAGCTTTACACTGAGATTTATTCAACCAATGATTTCTACAATACATACAATAATTTCAATTATAACTAATAAAAGCTACTTATTGTTTTTAATTTGTACATAATACAAATAAATCTATTTACTAGATAATTTATAAGATGATGCAACATAAAGTATAATGAGTTTCAAAATAATTCCTCTGATATAGTAACTGTTTTAGGAAAATATTTTAGGGACAGTCTGCATAATATCAACTACAACTGTACACAAATATTCTTCTGAGGATAATTTAAAGATTAAGCTGTATATAACTCTAAACAACTGAGGTGGAATGAAATATCTCAAAAGTTATATACTCCTCTAGAATTAAATCTAAAACGAATCTGAATCTTTACTAATTCTTCATGGTACAAATCTTGTTAAATCATCATTTTTGACTTCGGTACGAGATTTAATTAAAATTATTGCTTCCAGAGATTAGCAGAAAACCAGTGCTGAATTTTGGGTTTGCATTCAATTGAGAAAAAAATGTGTAAAAGTTTTGTTGGAAAATAGTAGTATCTTTTTCATTAGCTGCATTTACCTTACAGTATGTAATGGCAACTTTCTTTCTGCAGTGACTCTGCATAATTTTTTACCTGTGAGCTTGCACCCTTTTTCCATTGTTTCCTGCAATGAGTGTCACATCGCACAACTTTCCAGCTTGCAAGTAGTTCTTCATGCATGAGAGACTATGCTCAGCATGCCCATCACANTGGAGATTATTTTGGAGAATTATTTTGGATAAGAAAATCTCCAGAAAATGAATAAGTTTGTTCCGAAATACCTATTTCATTTTGATGTTTTGTGATTTGATATCATTGAATATCAAGTTCTCGTCACAATACTGTATAATTTTGAGTACATTTCGGTGTTAACAAAAAGTAAAAATAACTTTGCACCTAAAACTTTGAAAATTATGTTACTCTTCAAAAAAATTGACCGTGGTTAACACCGTAGTTGTGTAATTCGTAATATTACAGGCTTTTCAAATAAACCGTCGTATACAGAATGTTGTCTATTTATCGTTTCAGCAATTTTTTTTGTAGTCCCCATTAAAAAAACATGGTAAAAAATTAAACTTCACTTAAATGGCCATGACTTCAAATTTAGATGTATTTTTCAATGCTGAACAACTTCAACTTTTCAAAAATGAGGGTACTTTACTCTTGTCTCAAAATCAAATATTTGAAGGCTTCTTGTATATTACGTGTGTTTTACTGTATTTTGTTAGTGCATGTTTAGTTTTAGGAAATGCACAAACTTTCATCGAGAATAACTTTTTGTCGAAAAACCCTTAATAAATAAGTTTCCCATATGGTGCATATTTTGAGGATGACACTGCATATACGAAGTAGTAAACAAACAAATGTATTGTCACCTCCTCAGGAATTGAAGAATATTGGTTATGAATACGAAGCCAGCATGAAAATTAATGTTGATGTTTAAAAAAAATTGAAACAATATTCTAATTTTATTTGACTCACCCTACCGTTTTTCCTATGTACGGTCGTTTCCATGTGTTCAAATTTAACGAGTGTTCTTATCTTCTTCACGTTTTATGATGTATCAAGGAAAATCAACAACCCCAGGTTGAAACAGGTTTATTTAGACAATCATCAAGAAATGTATACAAAAATCTAATTAACTTAGCGTAATATCTTAGCGTTTCTGTTCAAAAACAACCAATGTGAAACGGAAACTTTACTTTCTTATTCTGACGGAATGCATTCAAATATACCAAGCATCTTAAACAAATTGAATCCCTTCAATGTTAGCAATTGCTCAAATTTTCGTATGAATATTAATACAAATAGGAATTATAATGTTGCTATTATTGCTTCTGCTCGAGTTTCAATATTTAATACGAATAAGAATCAAAATGTAGAAAGTTTTGTTGTACAATCAGCTCTGCTTGACATTGACAATCTGACACTTGTGTTTGTGACTTGTGACAGCTGATAAATATCAACATTAAAATTTTATTTTTATCTGGAACATGAGAAAATGTAATGGAGAGATAATATTTTACAAATGATTATACCATTATCTTAATGAAAAATGAACACGGAAATAGAGGAACATATTCGCAAAAATGTTACGTGGGTTCATCTTCCCACACACATCAAACAGGTACCAATATGCCTTGGAATAAAAATCATCTATTCAAATAAATACAAATTTCAGGTCTTGAGTAATTCTTCTAAGGAGTATGATCGATATGTAGTAAATTTCAGTATAAAAAACCAACTGAGATATCGTGGTAATCTAGGCGAGTACTCTGAAGTATTAATAATACTCTAATTTAAAAAAATAATGCAATTTCAGTTCGACATGTATTTAGAGATGAAAAACGATATTATGAGAGAATAATAGCTTATAGTAGAGAGAGGCTTATGCTGTTTCCCTATCATCTAGCAGATATGGTTGTTAAAGGACTCAGAATGACTCCGTTCAATTACTATATATCTGTAGTCGAGAAGCTTATGCAAGCTGAAAAAAGTTATGATACTCTTCCTAACTTTACTGCTGCTGATTGTGAGTTGATAATGTTTAAGTTTTAGTTTTTTACTATGGTAAATATATCAGTTCAGTAAAGAATATAGGTCCACAGTATTCCATTAAATTGTCTTACATTAAATTTAATTTTTCTTATTAGCGAAACAAAGGCTGAATTTTCATGAAATCGATATTTTGCATAAGTTGAGAATAATTGAGTTGATGATGAAGGTTTTGGCTTTTTACTTCTCCATCTTTACATAAAAAAAATGTTGGAATTTTCCAAAGAAAGGAAGAAAGCAATCAGTTTCAAAAAATTAACTCTACAAAGATGTATAGATCATGCAAAATATAACTTTCACATACATTGGAAGAAAAGCTCTTTCGATACAGCTACTTTCATATATATATATTGAATAACGTGAAAGAAAAATACTTTTAAAACATATATTTTCATATAAACATTGAATTATGCAAAAACACATATTTCTATTCAGATGGTACTCCAATATGTTGATAATATGTGGACTAATATTGAGAGAATACACAAATGAAAATAAGTAGAAACAATGTTTTTGCAAAGAATTATATGTACATGCACAATAAATATTCCCAAAACTACCAACATTGTCTTAAAAAATATTACATAAAATATAATTCTAAAATTTTGTGTTCTATCAAAATGTGTAGAACTCATGAAATAGATGTATCAAGTTTCATATTATATGACCACATTGGTCCACATTTGAAACTTTTTTTTTTGAAAAGATACATGTAAGATTTTATTTTTTCTAAATATTTCTACTTCTCAAGAAAAGGTAAGATCGCAAACGAAAAACAAGTACCTTAATGTATTTCAGAACGAAAAATTAATTTTTTACAAAATTACAGATATCAAACCTATATCCATTAGTTATACCGTCAATTACCAAAGAGCCTATGGTGGTTGTATATGAATTTAAATAAAAAAAAAAATTGAATTAAAATCCATCTATTGAAAATAATGTTTCCAAACACCAGAAATAGAGCACTCTCTCAATATGGGAGAAAAACTTATTTCATCATTGTCTCTATTTGTAAATGTTTCAGGTTTACGGCTACTTGGCATTGGACGAAATGAATACATTGATTTAATGAATAAATCTAGATCAAACAGGGGACGACTTTTCGGTAGAAAAAATGTGAAAGTATTGCTCCCTAGAGTTCCATCTGATATACATATGGAACCTTGGTGGCGGGTTGAAGTGGGACTTGTTCTTGAAGAAGATGTTAAGGTAATATCAAAAATATACTCTCATCATATACATCAACATAGAAAAAAATCCTTCTTGCATTTGCAATAAGGACATCCCTTCCTGACTGTATCCAGAGAATGTAGTCAAAAAATTTTTAATAAAAAATAGTGTTTGTACTTTTGAGCAATTTTATAATTCAGTAATTTAACAATATTTTAAATATTCTTTTTATAGTTAAGAAATAACAAATATTTCAAAGGGCCTATATAATATTTGGTTAATATAGATCTAGTTATAAGCTTTTCACATGTGTATACTGTATGTTGGTGAATAAATATATTCTATTTTAATGCTGATATGTGAAAGTTTTCATGCTCGAAATTCTCTGAAAAAAAGGCTATTTTCTAACTATGCTCCGTCTGGCTCCAAACAAGCTTGATCTGGTTCCCTAATGATCTGTTTCCTAATGCAAACCTATGTAATTGTAGGAAGTGTAATGGTATGACACAGTACAAAAAAAATTAGCGGATAGCCAACAAATTGGACTGCTATTTCCAGCCCATCCATGAGCATACATGTATCATTCAGATATTGGGTAAAAATGTTTTGTAGAAAATCAAAGTATTGTGGTCCTGTGAGAGTGCCAGTGCAAAAGTGTGAACTATTGTTTTTGTAATTCAAAATGTTTTGTGATACTGAGAAGATAATAATTTATCCGAATATCAAAAGTGTTTTATAACAGTGACATGGAGATCCAAACAGGGCATAATTTTTTGCCATATCAGAAAATAAAGATGGCAAAGGTTTTTTTTAAGCTAAAATGGCTAGCATCGTGTCAATGATGTTCTTAGGAAGGTTTTTTTCTTGTGATGAAGATATCAAGATATCGCATGTTAACTAAATTCTGGAACATCCTAAATGTATATATAAATAATGTATACTATTCATAACTGGATTAGATCTATTTTGAGGTATAAGAAATATACATAATAATAATAATAATAAACGTCTTCATTGATACAAGCACTTTTTATTTTACATTATTGAGTTTTAATTACATATATAAAGTTATACCCAAAGGCTAAGTTGTGAATTAAAGTAGCACAGCATTAACATAAGTATATGAATAAATGAATAAAGATCAGTGACTAGAAAATATTATGATACAAAACTAAGCAAACAATCATTGGTCATGAATCAATCTAAAAGAAAAAAATAATAGAAGAAGAAAAAAGAAGATGGAAAAGTGGAAAGGTTAAAGGTTTATTAAGTTATTGATTTTGAGAAAGATATAATTTCAATTTGAGTTAAATCTGAGAGGATGGCAATTTTTTAAAAGTTCTGGAATAGTATTGAATACTTTTGATATCTGGTACCTGAAAGAGCGTTTGAATAGCTGGGTTGTGAAAATGGAAGGTGTTGAAGAGCCTTTGAACCTCAGTCTTTAAACTCAGTAATATTATCTTTTTTCGGCAAAACCTCAACCACTGCACTCTTCCACACAGAGGGATAAACGTTTTCAGAAAGACTGATATTTATTATATGAGCAATTCAAGTAATTATATGAGGGCAGCATAATTCAATTAATCCCAAGTTCAATTAATCATGTCTCATAGTAATTGTACTGATCTCACTAATAATTTTATTAACAAATACGTCATTAACCTCCAGAAACTTAAAATTTTAATTCTTCAATTGTTTTTCCTTATGGAAATCTAAAAATGTATCTGAAGGTTTTCGAGGTTGGGTTTAAAAGCAGCTCTCATAGCTGAACTCCGCCTATTCATCATTTCTTTGAATTTTATTTAATTTGTACTTCTTATTGTGATGAATAAAGACATATTATTATTATTATAAGGTTCAGAAAACGGGATAGTATTCAGCAAAAAATCATTCACTTTTCCTTCAGATCTTCAGGAATATCTGAGATTACATTTATGATTTTGTTGTATTTTAGTGATTTCCAGAGCTCTTTTCTACTGCAATTTTCAAACTTATAACTGAAGTAAGCATTTTTTTATGTTTTATGGCACCATTAACATAGTTGTGCATATCTTTATAGAACTGTAAGTGTGCTGGATATTTTGTCCTTTTATATTTGTTCAAAGCTAATCATTTTTTGTATTGTTTCATTCAACCATGGGGCCCAAGGTTTTGTTACTCTTGGTGTGCATGCCCATCAAAAAGACTCGTTTAGAAAAAATTAACTTTTCTTTCTATTGAATCTTGACCAAATATCATAAAGAAGGATGTGCTTAGTAGATCAATTTCAAACATATCAACATTGAGGTTTTTGAAATTTCTATGAGTTAACATCTTGGGATCTGTCCACCTACTCTTTCCTTGCAAGCTACGAGTAAATGGTCCGTAATACCATTTGTGTCTATCAACATCACTTCTAAAACAGATTCCGTTTCTTGAATTATTATTAAGTCGAGAAGAGTTGCGTATTATATGACATAAGTTATTGAGCTCTTGAACATTTATAAGCCATTGAATTAATTGCCTCTGACTATTTCCAGACATCTTTGAAACAAGTAAAGTTATTTCCATATTTGAAAAGGGCGATCCAAATATTCCAGATAACTATAGACCCATACCTGTCATTCCTGTCTTTGGTAAAACTTTTGAGATGCTTAACGACTACTTAATTTCTTTTCTAAATGCTCATTTAGTACTTAATAAAAATCAATTCGGATTTAGGTCTAACAAATCGACAACCCAAGCTGTGATGGCTATAGTTGATACAATAATAGAGAATATTGAAAAGGGCCTAGTGTCTGCTCTAACTCTATGTGATCTAAGTAAAGCTTTGGACAGTGTAAATCATGAGAGACAATAATATATTACTTTTGTGTTTAAATTTCAGAAATAACTATTTAAGATGTAATTAGTGTATATAAACCTCAACGATTGTTTTTCTTATTTGTCAGTTTGACTTGTCACTATTGTACATTTTGTAGTTAATATTCTTATGTAATAAACTTATTCTATCTTATCTATCTATTAAAGTCACCAGTGCATAGAATCTTATCTACATTTGCATATATTGAAAACAATGTATTTTCGAATTCATCAAGAAATTCGTTTGTATCTTGGAGAGGAGGCCTATAAATAACTCCTACCTCCCAATTATTTTTTTTATTACTTTCACCAAGAGTTCCTCATAGGACTTGCCTGAGCAATTCCCCCCTCAGTACCTTACTGATAAAAATACATAAGCCACCACCTCTAGTTTCGCGGTCTAGCCTGAATATTGTAAAACCATTTAGATTCAATAAGTCATTATTAATATCATGATGAAGCATAAATATTATGATGAATTAATATCATGATGAATCATAAAAATATTAAATTCTATTTCTAATATTAGTTTGCGAACCTCTTGAAGTGATGGGAGGAGCGACCTCCCATTCCAAATTCCTATTTTAAGGAATTCCATGATTAATACAAATAAAATATTGTTTTGACACTGATCTTTATCCTAAATACCTAATTTCAAATGAAAACCAAAAAAAAAAACGTTCAACTGTTGTGAAAAGATAGGTTGAAAAAGAAATATCTTAAATTGTTCGGATTAGCTGCAAAGAAAAACAACAATGGTTTCTAACATGTACATAAAAAACTGTATTAACCTGAAGTGAAAACACTTTGAAATAGTTAATCTACGGACGATAATTTAACCGTGACCTAGTTCTGAAAAAAAAACACAATACAGAACTTTATATTTCAGCATAAGTGGAGCGTAATTTTATCCAAAATAAGTTTATAATCCAATAACATCTGCCATTTTGCTTATCTTGATAACTGATTGTTTTACTCATAACTCAGAAGAATATTTCATTGAAATGTCTTAGTTTAAAAAGGTATCTACTTAAAAACAAATTGATATTTTTATTTTCTATAATGGATTTTGACTTTTGTTCAAGTTCATGTCATGTCACTGTGGTACCTCTGGTATAAAATGGACCATCTATGAAAAACTTTTGTACATGCATCTCTCGATGCATGTTTCGCCAAAAAAATAAGCATCACCAGGAAATAACTGAAACTAAATCTCACAGCTATGTTGATATTTGCATATATCTGAACTAACCACCACCTCACCTTCGATAATTATTAAATTAATACTTAGTATAACTAATTCTTATATCCAATATTCACCTGTTTTCTGCCTGTAATTATTACGTAAGGGAAAACGGCGAGCTGTAAGGAATGGAATATTTGTCTCTGTTCATAGATATCATTCCACATTGTCGATTTCTACACTTTAGAAGGCATCTCGTCCAAAAATATGTTAGCTTACGCCAGTATCAACAATTATCAGGCATTCTTCTCTTGGAAATCTCTAATATAAACAGATTTGTTTCTTGGGATGAATAGGATAAGTACAATAGGTGTTTCAGGGGTGTTCAGTACACATTCAATTTTTTTTAAATTCCGACTAATCTATTGGTATATTTTGATTCATATGGAAGCCACCTATTTCCTAGATAACTTTTTTCTCGAGGAAAACGTAATCATTCTATAGCTAAGAAGATGTAGTCATGCCATTTTTGTTGTGAACAATGGTGAGAGCTATCAAGGATATATCTGAAAATGTTAGTATTCTTTCTATATACATTTTTACAAATCCTTATCAGCATTTCTTATAACTAGAACAGCCAGAAGTGGTAGCTCTTCACCATTATTAATTTCATGAATGAACTTTATACTGGTTGTTCAAGTCGAATACTCCAATACATGAGTCTGCGAAAAGTAATATATAACTCTTTTTCTATTTTAAATGTCATGAAAAGATGAGCCATCAAAGAAGACAATAGTTAACACATTGCCATAGCCTTTTGATGTTTATAAAAATAGTTAGCGAACTGGTAGCAATTCTGTTCCATAGAAACTTGTGTAAGCTGGTTCATATATTTCTAAAAATTTTTCACAGATTCGATTGATGTGTATATGGGGACACTTGTTAATAATAAAGATATGTCAAGAAATACTAAAATCTCACCAACTTGCAACCTTACATCTTTGATTTTCTCGATGAATTCCCTTGAATTAGACATGATGACGGAAAAGTCATCTATTAAATAATTTGTGAGGATGATATGAAAAGTATGTAGGTCAAAGTAAGCATACTATAAAAGGAGAATGTTTCATATGTTCGGTTTCATAGACTAGAGAAGTCTAGTGTCGCTCGGCATGCCTTAGAGAACAATCACAAAATAAGTGAGGAATTCGTGAAATTGTTCACTAACAGGTTTTTTAGACCCTTTTAATGATTTAGAAATCGAAAAATGTGGAATGAGATCTACGATCAGCGACTAAAGTCCCATTCTAAACAGCCTGTTGTTTACTATTACCCGATAATTCCAGGTAAAAATAAGGTCAATATTATGTATAGCAGGTATTAATTAACATTAGAATCGTTAACAATATAACACAATAACTTATACTAGAAAATAATTTAATGACCCTTGCGAGGTAAGATGATGACAAATATTAACATAGCCCGTAGTTGTATTCGTATCCTGATGACGCTAACTTGGTCAGTGAAATGCTCGTCAGAGATAGTATTTTTGTGCTGTTGTGGGAAAAATGTTTTTATAGATTACTCTCAATAGTGCTCTCCTTATTTCAATTTAATTTGTTTTCAGATGGTGAATGATGCAGAACTGATTGTTATTGACAAGTTAATCGATTCTGGATCCCAAAATGCTGGTACTTTACCATATCACATTGTTCGTAGTTTATATAAGTAAGTAAAAAAAACTTTGTGAAACCATTAGTTGTCAATTCAAAAATCAATGTTTGGATAAATCCTTCCTCATTTCCGATAATTTGATTTTATCAACTATGTAATAGCATTTATATATTTTGGATAAAATTGATGCTGAAAATATTTTTGTGAATCATATGCTGTTTATGCACGTCGATTTCAGCCTTGTTATGTGCTAAAAATTAGTAACTAAACCGCAACCATGCAACATAATATGGTGTCTATCTGTAAAGTTACATTGTCTCAAAAAAATGTGTTGTCACCCAGCTTTAGCTAGCAAGCTATCAAGTTCTTGATTAAAAATAGCTGATAACGATACTCATTTTCCGTTTTTATCCCATAGGTAGTGGTCGTGGCTTCGTTCCTATAGATTGAATAAAATGGTATTGATGTTTTACAATTTGGAACAGGTAACCAGATTTTACTTATGTTAATTTCCTCTTCTTTCGATTGAAGTTGTGTATTTATGAATTTCTCTCGCTCCCTCATATACTCTTGGATAGTAATTCTGAGTTTTGTCGTGCATATTCAGCTTCAGCTGATTTATGCGTATGCACAAGGAGACAATTTCTTTCATATTCAGAGAGCTGGGTACTCACACTTTTTTCATGGTTCTAATGTAGACCGAACCAGAGCTTCCAGGAATCCTGTATACCCCCAGTGTTGCTAAAGGCTCTCTGGAGTCCTCAGATGACCTTAGACTCTAATAGGTTTCGTTGGCCTTGGTATTGGTTTCAAATCGTGTTTCTCCTGAATTCCCCCAATCTGGTCTGTAACATTTTCAATGTAGGGGTGGAAAGTTTTTCTATGAACGAGCCTAGCTGAAGTTACTTGGGTGTTCTGTCTCATGGGTAGTATCGTACGCTCAAATTCAAGTTCCATTTGAAGGCATTTCTTATTTGATTCAGTTCCTCGAGGAGACTCTCAGGTTCACAGATGCCTCGGGCCCTCTCGGGCCCTCTCAAATGTTTGAAATAAATCTATATTAAATTTTTGGCATTTTCATACAGTGCGGTCTGTGAAAGTGCAAATGGAAATTTTTCTTATTTGTTACCCGATCAGAATTTGAATATCGTCAAAAGTTAATGCTGCATGGTTTATAACATTATTAGATACACCCTAAATGGTTTCAAATCAAACAAGAGACAGGGCAGGTCAGAATTTATTCATTGTGTTCAAGAATAAAAGACTTCTATTTCAAAAAATACAACAATATTAACAATAGTTGTTTACAATTAAAAGTTATATGAGGTCATGGGCTTCCTTTCTAATTTTTATTTATTTTTAATTCCATAATAAGTAACCGTTCCAATTTAACTTTTCCTGTAACTCTTACTGTTTTCAAGATGACCATGCATCTAGTTGCATTACTAAGAGAAGTTATGTATTTGTATTTATTGAACATATCTATTGACAGATGTAATATTAGTCCTTTTTGGAAAGAAATTATTAATACCTTTTCGTTTTTATTTGTTCAATGACAATACCTATTATACAGGGTGTCCCTGGACTTCCTCTTTTCCTCTCGGGAATGTATAGATGTGAAAAGAGGAAGTCCAGGGACACCCTGTATAAATATTTCTGTTGTCATTATGTGTTGTTCTTGGATTTTTTTGAGGCTTTGCCAAATCGAAAATATTATTTTCAGAAAAGGACTGATTTACTTGGATATACCCATTACTTCTGTCGATAGGGTGCAGGTACCCCCACTTCAAGGTTTTGTGATGAATCGAATTTTAGGAGATTATTTTGAAACACTTTTGTATAAAATATTTGTTTCTATAGATGAACATACCACTGTGGGAGAGGTAATATATAGCTTTTAATTAACACTTTACAATATAACTACTTTTCAGCTTGCTGGAGTTCTACAAGTTGATACTGAACTGGTCAAACAAGCAGTTTCTCTTTATTGTAGGCTAAAATTTGCCCGCAAACTGAATTCAGACCCATTGAGCACAGAACAGGAAACTAGGTACTGGCATTCATCCTGGAACTCTATTCCTATGGAAAATACTAGGTAAGCGTGATTTAGAAAGTTACTTTTCATTAGAAGAGAGTATAATTTAGTCATTTGTTTGAAGGTGGTTGACAATGTTTCATGGTGCATTTCATTAGTTCAGACTTCCATTGTCTAATATGATATAAATTGATTTGTTAGTATCTACAATCGTCTTCAGGTGATAAATAACTGGAATTATTCCTCCGAGATCTGACTATAGGTCATTTGAGTGCTTTCACCTATCCCGTCTTACCCCTCTTTATTTCATCCGTTTTAGCGGGAGCTGACCGATTGGCGGGTGTTGGTCGTGTTCTGCTTAATTTTAGGTTTCCATATATATGCGTTGTTGGACAACATAAATGCGGCTTCTTTGAATTTTCTCCTAAACCAGTGTTCCTCCTTGTGGATGATTTCAGCTTGACACCACTTGATGTTACTTTGATGAGTCCAAACATGCTCTGCTATTCCTGATTTGCTGGTTTCTCCTCGCTGTGTGTGCTCGGCAATGCGAACTTTCAATGGCCTCTTAGTTTCACCGATGTATGATTCTCCGCACTCGCAGGGTATCCGGTAAATGCAATTCTGGAATCGCAGTGTTTGTTGGCCTGGTTTTCGTGAGGCTGCTACGAATAGTGTTCCCAGATCCGAAGCAGGTTCTGATCTTATACTTGGACACAATTCTTCTTGTCCTTTCCGACAATCCTCTGATGTAGGGAAGTACAAGTACTGGTTGTGGCGGCATCTCTTTCTTGTGAGGCTCTTGCTGTCTTTTAGCCAAAGTCTGTTCCACCATCACTTTAGACACTTTAGAGTAACCATTCCGCTTAAGGTCATTTTTGATGATACCTAGTTCCTTTTCGAGACCTTCATTTGTATTGCAGAGCCCGAAAGCGTGGTCTACTAGAGTCTTGATGATTCCTCTATTAGTCGATTGTGAAATGTGAAAACACTGTTGATGTGTGCTGATGAGCCCCAAAATATTAAGCAATATTGAAAACTGGACTGCACCAAGTCATAGTATAGAAGCTTTGGTATATGGAGTGATATTTTGTCTCTTATATTTTGGATTACATAACAAAGAGAACTTGATTTTGTGATAACTTTGTTCACCTGTGATTTCCAAGTGCTTTGGATTCAACATTAGTCCCAGGAATTTCATTTTACCAGCGACTCCAAAAGATTTATTTATCAAAATGTAAATAAGGATTGGAATTATGACATATTTTTGGTAGAAACTGCATATATCTCGATTTTATTGCAATTAATGTTGAGGCATTTTCTTTAAAGCAAATTAATTCAGTAGATTCTTTATTACACTTTTTTATGAGTTGTCCAAATTGATGATGTGCTAGTATAAAATTTGTATCATCGGCATATTCTATAGACTGTCACAAGTTCTGTTAATATCACTGATGAAAATTTTGAAGAACATGGGCCCATATACCGAACCCTGAGATACACCTACAGTAAGTAGTTTGCGTTGGATTTGACCCTTAATTATTTAGAATAATGGTTTGAGAACAATTAGACAGAGATTATTCTGCCCAATCATATGGTTTACCACGTATCCCCATTCTTTCCATTTTCATCAATAATAGTTTGTGGTTTGTTAATGAAGTCTAATCCATCTTCTATGGCACTGAGAGCGGTTTTAAGTTTCCTGAACCCATACTGAATGTCTGGCAAGGGATGAAACAATTCTTCAATTATTGATAATACAATACAAAGGCTCGCCCTGTACCCATCAGCACACAAACAACCGATGAAAATGTTGAAAAAGCGAAGAATTTTATGGAGAATCGTCGAATCACTATTAGAGAAGTTGTTATGGATATCGGCATATCGATTGGGTCATGCCATGCAATATTTTCGAAAATTTTGAGCATGGAGCATGTGGCAGAGAAATTCGTTCTAAAATTTCTGAATTTGGACCAAAAAAAAAATCGCATGAGCATCGCTTAGGAATTGTTGAATGACCTCAATGGCTATTTCAATTTGCCAAGGATCGCTAGATATATCAATCATTGTTTAGTTAGATCACCACTTCTTACTCACAATTGTTCTGTTTGAGATAGAAGAGTCATTGCAACCATGATCTAACCTAATATCACTTATGAGTTCAATGGCAGATCAAAAGAAATAATATTTTCATTTTTTCGTCACTTATAATCCAAGATGTTTCAACTTACTTGCAAAGAAGATAAATTCAATTACACAAGTCGGAAATCTCTACCCTACCTTGTGTACTTTCATTTCTAGAAATCTTTCTTGAAGGTTTGGAAATGTGTGACCAGACCAAGTCTACTGAAAACTTCTAGACTCGAAGCAGAGTACCGTAAAACAGACTTGAAATAACAGAGAGAATATTTGGTGTCAATTTGAGAAATATTGTTTCAACTGTGAACTCATTAAAACTTTACAAATGGAATCAAGATAAATGACCGAAAAACAGAAACTTCTAGGAGATGGAAGATATCTGGTTTAAGGCAGTGCAAGCAAGAGGGTAGGAGAAATAACTAAAGTCGAAAGGTAACCATTAATGGCAGTTGAATCTCAAGGAAAATCAAAATCAATGCAGAGAATCAATAGTCAAATTAAAAAACAGTGCAGGGACGAAAAAAATCGGTGCATACAACAGAAAAAAATAACATTGACAAAAAATAAATTGCTATAATTGATTCATGGAAAAACGAGAAGGAGTCAATGCAGGTGAGGTGACAGACAATCAGTAGGGTGAAGAAAAACTCAAACCAGAAAATAAACAATGCAGGCAAGATGATTATGAACTTTTGTTGAGTCAGATTAAAAAGCAAAGGGAATAAACAATGAAGAAAATCAAGAGAATATGTAGGATGCAGAATAAATCAGATGAGAGAATCATCCCATTTATGATAATTGTGTTGAGATACATCCAAAAGCAAAATAATAACAAACCATTTCTGAGAAAAAAGTAGAAAAATTGAATTTGAGAATTTCTACTACTGAAACAAGTCACAAATTATAAAGAAGATTGAAATGTGACAGTCAATTGAAACATGGAAACAAAAAATTTTTCAAAAAATATTTTATTACCACTAGTTGATTTTATTTATACGACCGGTTTCGAGTTCGACCCCATTATCAAGTATAAAACTTGATAGTGGGGTTAAACCCGGGATAAAACTTGATATGGGGGTCAAACCCCTAACCGGTCAAATAAATAAAATCAACTAGTGGTAATTAGACAAAAGTGTTTCTATTCATTTCATTAAAGTGATCATGAATTAACACAAAATAAACAAGTCATCAATCACACATATTATAATTAATATTACCCTCCTTTGCTTAGTAATACAATTGTTAGCAATGTAAAACTGAAATGCATATGTACAGAAATAGAAATAATTGAAAAATACCATATTCAATGGATTACCTTTGTGGTCAATCCTTTTTTCCTTTTCTGATGCATTGAAGTTACTTTTGCCTGAAATAATTGTGGCAAATAAAAATTACAATTATTATTATTACTCTTACATAACTTCTTATAGTAAAGTTGATAAACAAAACAATAAAGTTGTTATTGACTTACAGTTCAGAAAGTTTTATAAAAGATATTTTCTTTTAGAAACATCGATATAACTCCTCTTACACTCAGCTTAAGTGGCAACGCCAACTTGACTACTACTACTGAAATTCAGTCTCCACAATTAGATCTTCCAGAGAGTCCGGCAGGTTCGTCTTTACCAAGGAATGGTCAGAGGATTGCCTTTTTATTTGATTCAACTCTAACTGCATTCCTAATGATGGGTAACCTTTCACCAGGGCTTAAAAAACACGCAGTCACCATGTTTGAAGTTGGCAAACTGTGTGACGAGAGTTTGGATAGCTTTTTAATGGAACTAGAGAAAGTGTCGGTATTGGATGCTGAAGGTGAAGGTAAGCATAAAAATATAAGTAAGGAATCTCATAGATATACAGTGAGACCAATAAGGTCGGCATCATATGAGAATGTTTTATTTATAGCTTCATTCAAAATTTTACTTTTACATCGATCTCTGTTTAGATCAGAATATAGAATTACCCCAAAATATTAGAAACATTTAAAAAGTTTTTCTGAATTTCAACTGCAATAAGACTGGGTGCAATCTACATACAACTACTTGGTTTTGACAATACTTTATTTCAGGTACGCTTTCTTTGAAGTAAGGGATAAAGCAAAATAGTTAGTTTTAATCTTCCTCTTGAAGATGATCACTTTGTGATCAAAACACGTGTCGAGGTGGTAAAATAATGGTTTGGTGTTGGGATAAAACTCCAGTAATATTCATTACTACAACAAAGGTTCTAAACAGTGCATCACAAGTTCAAAATAGTTTGTTATTCATCAAAAAAGTGGAATTTTTAATGTGTTTCATTTTTATACACATAATGTTTTTATTAGAAATTTTGACTCTATTCAGTTGAACTATTATTTTAATATTAATGTGTATTACTTTTAGACACAAACTACTATTTCTGAAACAGATATTTCGTAAAGTTTCCTAATAAATGGCCCAAAACGAATAAACTTTGCATCATTTGTGACCAATTTTTGTTAGTTCTGTTTATATTTTGTAGAAAAACATAGATTTGAAATAGCGTTATTTTAAATAAAACGAGTCTGAAATAAAGTATCGTCCAAACTAATAATCAGTGATGCAATTTACAAAAAGAAGGAAAAAATCAAAATCATCTTAGGCAACTGGAATAGGCATAGGACTCATAATTGTATTCACAAAAACTTTTTCAAATAACTTCTTTTGACATTTTTTGGAGAATTGGCCCCACTTTTGTAATTTTTTGTGAAAATATAAATTTGACAGATAATGCGAATCACGTGACATTTTTGGGATTACGTTCCATCCAAATTGAAGCAGACATTGATGTCAGAGTCAAATTTTGAATAAAGCCATTAATAAAGAAGTTTACATATGACACGGACTTTACTGGTCACACTGTAGATTGTGCCATAATTTAACAGTGAATGTGTTTCACTGTATATTGACCCACTGATATCCAACCATCAATGATTTCATTTCATTAATTTGTCATTGATCCATTTTTTTGTGATTAGGAGAAGCTAGAAGATTTTTTGACCATGCTGTGATTTTGAGATCAACAGTACTAGCATTGAGAAAGTTAGTTGGAACAGGGTTAGATTTGGTCAGATTAGAGAGCTTACACTCCTTGGACGAAGCGACTTGCCTACGACTCCTACAAAAGAAATATAAGTGAGTATCTCGAACCCTTAAGTGACATAATAATATCCTTCCATTTTCAGACTCCTTGTTTCAATGGCGCCTCTAAGTAGAGAAGTTCGACCAGTTACCAGTTTACTACCTCCCCATTTGGGACCTGCTGTACCTGAAGTTAATACGTTGTGGTTTAAAATGTTTCTTTACCATATTACTGGATACGGTCCTCCTTCACTTCTACTTACTAAAGGTAAAAATTATATGTTTTTTTTTTTTTTCTATTGGAAACATCACAAAATGTATACCTGAAAAATTAAAAAAAACAATTTGTAGGACTCAATCTTCATTTCCAGCAAAACTCAATTACCACCTGGATAAAAATTAAACCTTATTATAATCGTAACTATGTATTCGTGTAAACCAAAAAAAGTAACATTTGACTTTATGGGTGTTTCAATATAAACAATTAAATTTGATCTTTTGAGAATTCATTTCAATGACAATGCAAGTGATTAGTGAAACACGCGTTGGGAAAAGTGATGTAGTTCTGGTGTGTATTGAAATATTTATTGGTTGAAGATTTCTTTGTTTTACAGAAGCCTAATTAACACTATTTCTCATCTTCAATGCAAACCCATTAAGATTTAGTTACCTAGTACTATTGAATAATATTGTCAATATAAATTACATACATGCAAAACTGAAGTTATGCAAATCAGCAATTACTTGACAAGAGAATAACACATAATTATCGACTGGTGGCAGATGCAGAGTTGCATTATACAAATAAACTTTGTCACTATTGAGTCTACAAAAAATGAAACTATTCAATAAAAAGAATATGAATACTAATGAACACTGGTGAGAATACTAACCTGTACAAACATATTGCTACGTTTTTTCCCGTGGGTTTACCAATAATTGACTGTACTGTACAATAAATAAATTTAACTTTATTTCACTGTTAATACAACAAAACACTTAAATAAAACTTAACAATTATTCAAATGTCTATCGCCTTATAAGATCGCTCTGCACAATACTGTCTGCGAAACTTGACTGTCCCAATAAGTGAGTTGATTACGTTTATATTTGGCAATGGAAGGCGGTAGAAAATTCATCGGAATTCCATGGAAGCCGGTAGCATTATTCTCGCCACATCTAGAACGACCGAGAACATCGATCATTCGCGAAACGTCGGCTGGACTGTGCGGGATCTTGACCTCGTCACGATTGGTTTATGGCTGCCAGTGGCGTTACTTTAGGACATTGGCCACGGGTTGTGGAATTGGCCGCGGTGGTAGTGCGCCCGACTCACGATCAGAAAACCGTGGGTTCGATTCCTGCCTCGACCAAATATTTTTCTCGAGAGAATTTATTTGGTTGAAGCTGGGATGATTCTGCAACTGTGTTAGGAATCACACGTTTAAAGGTAAGACCTCGTTAGTCCTTAGCTCGCACAAGTTTCTCAACTTTTGAGAGTTATTGTTCGTATGGGGGCGACAGCTGATTAACGGAAAAACAGATTTTAAACAGATTTTTTAAACATGATTTACAACACTACCCCCTTTCCTGAGGTTGTTCGCCCCGAACAACATTCCAAGAGGGGACATCACGACCCATGTAAGGACTCAGCTTCTCTATGTGGACAACCTTAGGCTTACTTCTGGGTGACAATCGGATTCTGTACACCAGATCGTTTATGTTTTTGGTTACCAAGTACGGGCCTTGCCTTGGTCTCTGTAATCTGGAACACAAACCCTTCCGGCGTTTGGGTTGGTAGAGTTACACTGCATCGCCCTCCTTGAAGCTCACCGGCAGCGACTTTTTGTCAAATCTTATTTTCATACTGTCGCTGGAAAGCTGTAATTTGGTTCTGGCAAATTCGTGTACAATTTCCAGTCTTTCCTTCAGGTCATTCACATACTCTGAAAGAGGTACCTCTTGAAATTCATCATGAAATTCATGGACTGCCACACAATACATCTATCAGAAGCTTCAGTTCCCTATCTGTCGCGTCATGTTGGGAGCTCCTGTATGCTAACAGAAAGAGAGGAACCTGTTTATCCCAGTCTCTTTGGTTTTTAGAGACAAAAATCGGGAGGTAGTTATTTATGGTATGATTATACGTCTCGACCATTCCATCGGACTGTGGGTGAAGAGCAGTTGTTCTTATCTTCTGTATTCCCAACCAAATCATCATTTTCTTCCATAAATCCGATTCGAAGATGCGACCCTCATCCGAGTGTAGTTCCTGGGGTACTCCGTTTCTGGTAATTACGTTCTTCAACAGGACTTCTGCCACCGTTTTAAGCTGTTGATTGGGCAAGGCTACTACTTCAGGCCATTTGAAAAAGTAGGCCATCAGAAACATAAGGTACTTGTTACCGGATGTGGTCAATAGCACCCACTGAGGTACTGCTTCAACTTCCCTCTTTGCCTTGTCTTCGGACCCTTTCTCGAAGAGCACAGTCACCACTCTTCCACGATCTGGCGGCAATTGACCACACCACTCTTCCACGTCTCGACGGCAATTGACCAATAGTACCTCTCACGCACTCTCGCTAGAGATCTATTTACTCTGATGCCCTCCAGTGTGACCATGGTGGAGCTGTTTAAGTATATCCGGGATTCATGTCTTAGGAAGGATCTCTTGCCATTCCAGTCTCACTCTTTTGTCAATTCATTCCCGTACAGTTTTCAAGACCGTATCCTCCTTTTGTTTTACGATGATAGCTTGCCTTGTCATGAAGGTGGTGTCACCCTAAGAGGCTGGTCAGGTGATTTCTCAGATTACCTGTTCGTATCCCTGGACAAGGGACCCTTACAGGTTGCTACCCTCCGAATTAGAGGGAACCTGAAGCAGCGGGAGGTGGGGGAGCTTATCTCCTTATCAGAGCTGTCCATAAAGGAGTCACTGCCCGCTACTTTGTCACGTCTGATGGATCGTTCTTCTTCTGGTAATTGGGTATCCTTGTACTGGCGTTGACATAATTTGCATCCGGATGTCAGGCATGGTCTTGAGAGGCTATCTGTGACTCTTTCCTTTCCGATGTTGAATTTCAAAATCATAAGTTTGTAACTTTTCGATCCACATGAGTATTTATTCTTTTGGGGTTTTGAAGTTGAAGAGTCACTGAAGTGCTGAGTGATCTGACCTGATCAAAAATTTATGGCCATATAAAAAGGAGTGGTAGTGTCTCCTTGTACCTGAGAAAGTACTGCTCCTATTTTATGTTGGGATGCATCTGTGTCCAGTTAAAACAAGCTCTCCTACTTTGGGTATGCCAGGATCGGTGCGCTGGTCAAATACCTCTTCAGGGCAACAAATGCTTGCTACCCTGAAGAGGTTCTCCTTTCAGTCATGCTATGCAGCGGTCTGGCAATTTTCCCAAAGTCCTTAACGAAATGCTGGTAATAGCTATAGAGTCCAAAGAAGCTTCTTACGTCGTGTTTGCTCTTCGGTGTTGGCTATTCTTGCACTGCCTTGATTTTCCCTGGATCTGTTACAACTCCCTTTGACGACACAACATGTCCCAAGAAATCCACTTTTCCTGGAAGAGGCAGCACTTCTTGGGATTGTACTGCAAATGAGCATTCTGTAGCCTCGTGAAAAGACTCCTCAAGTATAACATATGTTCGTCAAAACTTTTTCCGGTGACTATAATGTCATCAAGATAAACCAAACATGTTTTCCAGGTAAGTCTTCTTAACACCAACTCCATCAAGCACTCAAACGGCGGGGCATTGCATAATCCGAACTGCATAAACTTAAACTGGTGAAAAAGACAGTCTTCTCTTTATCCTCAGGACGAACGACCATCTGCCAATATCCGCTTTTCAGATCTAATGTTGAGAACCATCTGCATTTAGCCAAGATGTTCAGGGTGTCATCTATTCTGGGGAGAGGGTAACTGTCCTTTCTAGTGACATCATTAAGCCTTCTGCAGCCTACGCAAAATCTCGTCGATCCATCATTCTTAGTCTCCAACATAATAGGTGATGACCAGCCGCTGTTTGATTGTTCGATTACTCTTTCCTCCAACATGTCCTTAACAGTGGACGCAGCTTCGTCTTGCTTTACGAAGGGAAGTCGTCTCGGTGGTTTGGGTATGGGCTTGGCATCACCAGTATCGATCCGATGTTGAACTAAATCCGTCGGCCAATGACTTTGTCCTTCAAAAATATATCGTTCGCTTCCTCTACGAATCGGATGGTCTTGCATAGTTCTTCTTCAGGAAGATGGTTCCATTTTTTTTAAAGAGTCGAATTCCATTGCGGGTTGTTGAGCACGCTATAGAGGGACTTCTTCCTCGATTCTGGCCATTTTCACGATTAGTTCGCCGGTGCCTATAACTTGCTCTTACTTGAGAGTCACCCTGTTATCATTAGGGTTAATTATTCTTACTGGAATGATCTTATTGTTACCATTCACGACAAATCTGGCCACGAAAATTCCTGCTTCAGAGCCATTGGATTGCTCCATCAATGCTGTGCCCAAGCTGCGAGTTCCAGCAATTTCAGCTTGAATGATTTTCTCGTTGTTTGGAGAGATTTTGAAATCTTCCAGTATAACCACCTTGGTGCTGTCATGAGGCTGAAAGGGCACGTTGAGTATAATTTCCCTGTTTCCGATTTCCACAGTTTGTTCCTTATGTCCACCACAAATCCTCGTTGCTACAGTATCGATGGTAAAAAGGCACTGGTGATTATTCAGAAATCCATCGACAACTTAACAGTTACTGTTACATCCTATATTGGAAATCGAATACCTGGAGGATTGGGATGCAGCAGCCAATGTACTTCTCTTAACGCTGGCTGAATTTAGTTTTTCCAAACCCCGACGCTCCAGTTCGGGTGATCTCAAACGCCAGTCTCTTCTTTCGTCGGATGCTGGATGTGATCAACAGTCCCGTCTTAATGTCCTTCTCTGCCGCAGTTATAACCTTTAGGCCTTGTCGCGAAGAATTTTTTGCAACTTTCAATTCTGGGGCATAAATGATGGCTTCATTAAATTTTTTATGATGTGCCATCCTCAGCGACTACTGCAGCTCCGTGTCAGGGACTCCGTCGATGAAACTATGGACAATAGTCCAGTGAGTGAAGTTATCAGGTGCTTCTGGGTTGGCGAGTCTTACCAATCTTTCGACTTCAGCCCCGAACTCCTGCAAACTCTCTGATGGACCTTGGGTTCTCACCTTCAGTTGAACCTGGTAGACTTGTTGTAGGTACTCACAACCATACGTGATTTCCAAAGTTTATACGACTGCTTCATAATCCTTCTGCTTATTCACTGGGATATGTTGCAAGATTTCGGAGGTCTTTCCTCGTAGTGCTAGTATGTGAGCTGTTGCTTTCTCCTCATTCTTCCACCGATTATTTCCCGCAGCGGCCTCAAATTGTCTGCGATAAATTGACCATGAAGATTCACCATCGAAGGTAGGAGTTTCAATAAAACTACTGCTATACGGGAGAGATAATTGTTTCCGATTTGCACTTTTCCACAACAATCCTCTTCGTCTCCGGTAATTCTTTCCGAAGTTCCCGAAAAACCTCTTCCAAGTTTTTGTCGACTCCTTCAAACCTTTTGTCGACTCCTTTAAGTTTCTTTTCAATTTTCCTTCCGACTCCCTCAAGTTTCTCATCGACTACTTTTTTCAATCCCTCCCTTGTATCCTTTTTTTTAAGGTCAAAACACAAGCATTACTGAAAAATCCTTAAGGTACCCTAAGAGCGGTGCCTGTGCGAAAGAAATGATTCACATTGAATTTGAATCGCTGGAGATTAAATACACTTGGAAAGACGTTCTCAGTTTATTTCACATAAGCACAGTTCTCCAAATGAAAGAGTTCTTGAACAGTGAAGTTCGAGGTGTACTGAGTTGAACCTCAAAACAATGAGCAGCCACATTCCGTCGCGTATTTCTGATATGTACCGCTCTTTGAATTGAATCTGGTTACTTTCACCCCAATTCGAAATTACTGCTAGATCCTCATCAAGATATGCAACCTCCTGCTGCCGGTAAAGATGTGCATCCGCAGCTAATGTCCTGGAATCCAAATGGAATGACGAGACAAGTGTGCTGTCGTCAGCAAAGAAATATATTAGATTCTTGGTTTTTTCTAATATGTCATTGATATACAATAGTAAGTGGGTTGGAGACAATATAGATCCCTGGGGAACACCAGCGTTGATGGTAAAAGTATTCGAGAATTATCCGTCGACAGCCACTTGCAGGGAACGTCCTTCAGCAAGCCATAGCTTCGAAGTTTTGCCAGCAAACCCTCATGCCACACACTGTCAAGGTCTTTAGAAATATCAAGCGCTACAGCTCTCGACTCTTAATGTTTCTCGATTGCGTTATTCCAAATATGGGTGATATACGATAGAAGGTCGTCTGTTGATCTTTGTTTCCGAAAGCCATGTTGATGTTCGCTCAAGATGTTGAAGCCTTCCAAATATTTGAGGATATGGTGGTGGTTTATGGCTTTCTCCATGATTTTTGATATCAGTGATAGCAAAGCGACTGATATATAGTTATTTGCAAGATTTTTCCTGTCCTTTTTGGGAATAGGCTGAACGCGAACAATCTTCCAACAAGAAGAAAATACCCCATTTTTGTAAGACAGGTTGAAATGTCTGCAAAATACTGGTGCGAGTTCATTTGCGCACTTTTTAAGCACGATGACGGATACTTCATCAGGACCAGACGCCTTGTTGATATTGAGCTTTTTCAGAATTCGCCTGACTACAAGTTGTCGGAAAGTAATTTCCGGCATTGTGGATTTTAGTGTGGGAATAGTGGGTGGTGTCTTTCCCAGAAAATCCACTGTGGAGTGGGACGCAAATTGTTCAGGTAGTAGATTTGCTTTTTCTATGGCTGTTGTTACAATTGAACCATCCCCTTGTGTTAGTGATGGAATTGTGGATTTTGTTAAGTTTTGATTAACAGCTTTAGCTACCGACCAGAAGGATCTAGACCCGTTGGGATTGGCAAGCAGTTTATCCCTAATTCTCTGATTATGAAGTTATTTGCCTTCATTTATCCTAAGTTTGCATCTATTGCAATTATTAATAAACCTAGTTTGGTTTTCGGCACTGGTATTTTTGCGCCACTGCCGGTTGGCGAGATTTTTGGAAGCGAAAGCTTGCAATTTTTGTTGCCGTAAGAAATTTGTTTCATTGAAAAAGGAATATATGCAACCATGGATAATAGAATTACTTCCATGACTTCAGAAGCAGAAATAGATGGATCTCTAGAGCTGAAACAAACATCTAGCCTGGGGAAATTTCGGAAATGGTCTTGAAGATCCTTCCATTCAGCAGATCTGTAATGCCAAACTTTGCGCGGCTTAGATTTTTCCCCAACATTTATCGGCAATTCACTCAACACTGAAATGAGTTTGTGATCAGAGAAAATCCTAATGGAGACCTTATGGTGACTGTGTAAATTTCTGGATATAGATCCAGAAGACTAGCATATTCTCCATCACGGTCTGGATTTATAATCTGAGTCCGCTGATTATTGCAACAGCCTCAGCTTCGCAACCTTGTTCGTCGTTGATATTTGAAAATTTGAGCCATTCTGTATTGTGGTCATTGAAGTCACCAAATATGGAAATTTCGGCACTGGGATGATTGATTTGCAGAAAATCAATAGTGTTTGCAAATGAAGAGAATAGTGCCCTTTATTGTGTATCGCTTGGTGGTCGATAAACGCAGCATATGAGTTTAGTGATCTTCTGTGATATTATTTTGAACCACATAACATCAAAGTTTTGGGGTTCTAAAGTTATCGGAAGTGGAAATCATAGGCGGGATTTAGAAAATTGACGGGGTTTAATGAAGCAGTGACTTTGGTTTCTAAGAGTGCAAGAATATGAGGACTATTTATTTGCAGATGTTGGTGCATGCACTGGTTTTATACTTGAGTTGAGTCCTCTGATGTTACAGAAATCGATTTTGAAGTTGCTAGTGGGCCTCTTAACAACCACCATTACCCTGCTATTATTCTGTGGACTGATATTAGGAAGACCCTTTTGATTGTCAGAAATAGTGGTTTTCGAATAACTTCTGCAGGATGATGCCCTCGAATCAGCCCCCGCCCGGAGATCCGATTTGGGAGCTATTTTACCTCCGGAGTATTTTCCTGAATAAATTCTTGTACCTACCTCCGTTTTACTCACCTAGGAAGATTTCAAATCTTACAATAAATGAAGGTACATCTGACATCAAATGTTACGTTTTTCCCCGTGGGTTTACCAATCTTTCATAGTGAAAGAATGTAGCTTAGTCTTAGCTTCTCCTCTCTGTTACCTCTTTAACTTATCGTTAAATACAGCAACGTTTCCTGATGTTTGGAAACTTGCCAAAATTTGCCCAATTTTAAAGAACGGGGATGTTTCAAACATATCAAACTACAGAGCAATTTCAATTATCTCAAACTTCGCGAAGGCGTTTGAAATTATCTTGTATAAGCACATTTTTT